GAATCCCAAGCAGGCTCATCAGTGTGGACCCCAATGTGGGGCTCCATCCCACAAACCTTAAAACCATGACCTGAGCTGAAACCAAGAGTCGGACGCTTAACTGACTGAGCTACCCCGCTGCCCCAGTTTTCATTTCTTGAACTACTAGTAGATTTAAACATATTTTTTTAACTGCATTCAGACTTACAAATACACTTTTTGAGAGTTATTAAGACAGCATGAGGAATGCTGTCCTTTGGTCAAGGATTCCTAGGAGTTATTGCATACATTTAACCACTCTAAATAAATATTGACCTCAAGAATACAGAAGTTATATAAATTTAGGAGTCAAAATTTAATGTAAATATTACCAGGTTTATATTCAATTTTATGGCTTTGACTTTTAGGTAGAAGCAAACTGTTTTTTGATTCCTGACACCCAAACTCAACCTGGAATCTGGTTTTACACATCTTACCTACATGTGAAAATAATAGATGCTGCATGAATATTTCCCCTAGAGTTTCCATTTTTTTGTTTTGTTTTGTTTTTGTCAAGTGCCTACTCATCTCCATCTATTTTTCTAATGGTGTTGTTCATTTTCTTAGGAATTTTAAGTGATTCTTAAATGTGCCTTAATGGCACATTGCTGATTTTAATCTTTTGACATTTATCTAGCAAATATCTTTCTCAGTTGTCCCCTATTTAGATTTTCATGAACTAAAGTCCATCTTTCCATTTCAAATGTTGAATTTTATTTGTACCATCATTTTGGTTTTCTCTTATAACACTTCTCACACACCCTTATCATAATTTGAATTTTTGGGTTCTAGAAAAGATCAATCAAGTGAAGGTGACAGAAAAGTGAAAGAGCAAGAGTAAAGTAAAAACAGTGTCTTTCCAGTAACATCTTTACAGACAACAAAATAACACACATCATAGCTTCAGCCATACTGCATGATCATTCTCCTTAGGTGTACATAAAAATGTATGTTTAAACTTGCTAGTTCTTATCAAAATCCGAGTACAGAATTAGAGCATTATTTCCCTAAAATTTCAAGCACAGTGTACAGAAAGTGAAAACTTAAGTCCAAAGTTATCTGAGATAAGCTTAAAGTCTATATCCTAAAATTGCTCATATTTTTCCAGTAAAGGCATTATCTCTGTTAGACACAACTGAAAAGTAAATGGGTACTCAAAAAGAACATCTGCAGCAGAATTTTAGTAAAATCTTAGTGGTAATTTATTTTTCACATTGCTTGGAAAGAAACAGATGATTCTGTCAATATCCTCTAACAATTCCAGTGCCTTCAAGAAATTTAATGTGTTAAATTATATCACCACTTTCAAAGTTAAGAAAGTTAAAACTTCTTTGAGGGCTAGATGAATAGGCCAAAATTTCAAAGTTCAAAAAGTCACAAACTGTAAGAACTGAGGAGAAAACACACACATCTTTTGGTACTGTTGAGGAAGATTTCCTTTCCTATTCACGGTCCTTCTAGCCAGACTAAGAATCAAAATGATATGAGACAGATTAACAGGTGAAAATCAAACTTAATTATGTATGTATGGGGTATCCAAACAGACATAGGAATTCCAAAGACAGCCAGGCAAAATGAGATATGTATGTCATTCTGAACTAAGGAGAAGAAATAGAGATCTGGGATCTCAAAGAGAAGGAATGCAATTCACAGGAAAAGGGAAAAGAGTAAATGCTTGATAAATGTTTGCTGGGCCTTTCAGAAACAATGGGACATAGAGGACTTTGACCAAAGAGGCCCTGCTTGGGACACCTGGGTGGCACAGTTGGTTGGGCGTCCAACTTTGGCTCAGGTCATGATCTTAGGGTCCCATCCATGAGTTCCAGCCCCGCGTCGGGCTCTGAGCCTAGAGCCTGCTTCAGATTCTGTGTCTCCCTCTCACCCTGCACCTCCCCCACTCAAACTTTGTCTCTCTCTCTCTCTCAAAAATAAACATTTAAAAAAATTTTAAAAACAAAAAAAACAGGCCCTGTCTACCATACCTAGTTCACAGTATAATGTAGTAATCTACAGTGATAACTCTTCCTAGAGAAGGTCCTCCATCTAAATTCTCTTTAGGGAGTTGTTGGGTGGGGGGGAGGGGGTAAACAGCTTTTCCTGAATCTACTGGGTTTTGATTGCTTTTTAATTCAAAGTAGTCTTCATGCCAAGTGGCCCATCTTGGGGCAGTGTGCCCTAGGCCCCTACAGTACTGATATACTGTAATCACAATCTGTGATTTTAATACATAGAATGTTAAACAATGATTAAATAATCCTCAAATATTACATGCCACCTTATAATTTCTGAAAAAATGTATTTAGAATGTAATGCATTTAAAATACTTCTTATAGAAGACTAAATAAAAAATAAAAAAAGAAGACTAAATAAAAAAATAAATAAAAAAATAAAATACTTCTTATATAAAATACATGATGTGGACCAATTCATTCACATATCTGAAAGACTGAATATTTGCAGAACATCCTCCTCAAACCCAACTTCTTTCTACACAAACTAGATGCCTTCCTGTGCCCTTCCTCTGTACTTCCATTTGAGTCACTTGGGTCTGAAAACTAGCTCTACCATTTACTGGCTGGGTAACTTGAGACAAATTACTTGACCTCTTTTTCTGAGTTTTTCCATCTGTAAAACAGAGATAATAATAGCGTCAGTTTCTTAAGGCTTTTATGATTTAAATGAGTTGATATTCTCCAAGCTTTTAAAATAGTGCTAGATATTTCTGAAAACAGTAGTGACAATTATACAACACTGTGAATGTAACTGCCACTGAATTTTACACTAAAAATGATTAAAATGGTAAAGATGATGTTAATGTCTATTTTATGACAATAAAAAAAATTAAAAATAAAATAAAATAATGCCTGACACATAGAAAGGATTTTTTTGAAATAAACTAAAAATAGAATTTACTACTCTGCATTATAATTATTTGATGACTTGTCTGTATCACCTTTAACTAAAACTTCATGTGGATAGATGACATATTTGGCTTGTTCAGCATTTGTAGCTCTAATACCTATCGTGGACTCAGACACCATAGGAGGTCCTAAAGAAATACTTACTACTGAGTGTGGTGTCCAGCTCAATAGAATGGGTTACCTAAGAGACAGTGACTTCCTCGTTAGTGTAATTATTTAAGCAGAGGTATAATGATCACCTACTAATGATGTGTCAAAGCACACGTCAAATACATGGGATGAGTGTAAGTGTCTAAAATTTCTTCCTAATTTAAGATTGCATTATGTATCTTGTGCTTTAATACAGCAATTTTCGTAAACAGTACCAACACAATAAAGGAATTCCATCTTTTACTACTGGCCACCTTCACCCCTAAAATAGGCTCTGGTCGTATGAAAACACTGTTAGCCTTTCCAGACCTCCTGGTATATTTACATGCTTTTTGCCTTTGTTCAGAATGTGCTCTGTCACTGGTATGCTTCACCTTCTTGATGTCACATTCTCTAAAAAGGATTCCATGGTCTTCAAAAAGGGTGTTAGTTGTCCCATACATGCTGCATTAGCATTTTGGTTTTGTTTTTATCACATGATACAAGAGTTAACACTTGCTAGTTCTCTTAAACTGCAGGCTATTTGGAAGCAGAGTCTGGGTCTTTTTCAGCTATTTAACACACTGCCTGGTACTAAATATTTATTAAAAGCATAATGGCATGAATGAAACCATCTTGTGAGGTCTGCTGCTTTCAATTGTGTACATCATAATTTTTTAAAGCACACTTTTTTTAGATATTTTTTCACCAACCAGTCAAATGCTTTCTTTGTGGCAAAATTCTATCCCATGTGGGCGATTTCAAATATCACCCTTTGATGCTATTGAACACAATATGTTACATGCAAATGTGTACCCCAAAACAAACACGTGCTTTTATTGTGTGCCTAGAACTTACATTCTTCAAAGCAAATTTTCTTGAGCAAATGTTTGGAGGTGAAGGGACACGGCCAAAATCTGCTAAGACACTAACCATTCTGTCTGAAAGAAGGAAATGAAAACAAGAAATGAGTTCTTACCTACTACTGTGAACAAGACAATTTGCCAGAGATGATGAATACTGATATTCCAAGCTGTCAATACAGTGTGAGTTAGGAGAAATGTAAGTACTTTAACCTTATGAGAATTTGATGATTCCTAGTCTATGCCCTAAAAGCTGAGCTTTCCACTTTTCCATATAATCTGTGGTTCCCACAAAAGATTATTAAAACACAGAGAGAGGGGGGCACTTGGGTGGCTCGGTGGGTTAAGCGCCTGACTCCAGTTCTGCTCAGGTCATGATGTCCATTTGTGAGTTCAAGCCCCATGGGGCTCCCTGCTGACTGCACATTGATGGCTTGGGATTCTCTCTCTCTCTCCCCTCTCTGTAAGAGCCCCTACCCCACGAGCACTCTCTCTCTCCCAAAATAAATTTTTGAAAAGAAAAGAAAAAAAAAAAAAAAAAAAAAAAAAAAACACGGAGAGAAAATCTCAATGAGGAAGTCCACCTTAAAGAGGAAATACGTTTGTCCAAGAGGAAAATAAAGGGCGCGTCCTGCACTACACTTCCAACTCCACAGACAAGAATGGAAGAAAAAGATTAACTGCATTTTCATCTGTATCACAGACGAAAGCTCATTTCCCCTTGCATAATTAGAAGGTTCCTCCGACGTGTTCGTTATTCAGCAATTGCCAATCGGTATGCAGATGGCTCATTAATAAACGATGACACATCATCTGGTGTCAGAAATCAACTCTGGATAATATTCAGCCACATCAGTTTCCTGAAAAGCCTGCATTCATTTAACTCAAGCCTCTTCGGTTAGTTCAGCAGACAGCTCTGAGGAGCTTCTCCACCCCTCACTTCTTCCGTCCCCACTTCTCCCTCGGCTCCCAAGAGAGGCGGACCCGCCTGCCCGCGCGCCCACGTAGACTGGCTGGTCACCCGGGCGGGCCGGCGCGTGCGCACTGGCCTGTCTGCAGCGGGCGGACAATGGACGCCCCTAGGACCTTAGCGCCCGAGCGGTCCGCCCAATCGCTTCCTCGGATAGGAGGGGTTCTTTTGAAGCTGTGGCTGTGTGAACTCTGGGTACTGCTGCCGGATTCCGGTGTGAACATGAAACTTTTGCCTCACGAAGAGGAAGTACATTTTATCAATGAATACGTGAACCTCCACAATGAGCTCCGGGGCAACGTCTCCCCCGGAGGGTCTAACTTGCGCTTCATGGTGAGGCTCTAAGGCGGTTGTCCGAACCGCCCCACAACCTCCTTGTCACGACGCCACTGCTCGGCCTCGGAAACCCGGGCCACTGCTTCACTGAGGCTTACGGATGGCGGGGAACTGCACGTCACTGTGGGTTTAAAATACGCTTGAAGTGATTACACTCAAGAAATAGAAACCACTGTGTGACACACAGTTATTACCAAGATTTTGCAGGGAGCTGGGATCTGTAGAGGCACTCACCTAAGGGGATGTCTCAGTCACCTCGTCCTAGTCCTGGCCCTAATTTTGCCTTCCCTGAACAATGTTATTCTTGCTTCTTCCCCCCCCCCCGCCCCCCATTTCTATTTTACATCTCATCAACTGTTTCTCTTGCTTCCCGTCTTCGTGATTGTCACTAGAAATGGCTGCAAAATTTATTGGACAAATATTCTTTGACCAGGCAATTAGGAGCTTCCAACTTATATGATAAATGATATCACAAGGACTGTTTCTCTAGACATAAGTCTTTTCTTCCTTCTGGGTTAGTTCCTTAGACAAATTCGAGAAAGGGGATAAATAGATGAAGGATATGATATTTTTATTTATATGATATACAGCAATTGCTATTCTAAAGGGCTGCGCCAAATTAAGTAAATACCAGCAATGTGTTATAACTTATTTGCACAGTCATGGGAAGCAATGACCGAAATGCTTACAAACTTCAAGTTGAGAGTTAGACTTACTGGATTCAAATCCAGGCTCCACAATTTACTGGCAATAAGTAGTTGTAAGTCAACTACTTAATTTTTTTGTTTGTTTGTTTTACTTCTTTTGTGAATTAGAGACAGTAATAATAATACATCACTCGTGGAATTATTGTGAAAATTAAGTGAAATGATACTTAAAACACATTTAGAATAGTGACTAGTATGTAGTAAGCTTGTGATGTGTAAACAGTATGCAAAATAACACAGGAGGAGGATAGTCCTTGGAGCATTGTTTGCAAATGGAAAACTAAAGGGCCATTAATAGTGGAATGGTAACATTTATTATATGCTATCCATACTACAGAATAGAATGTAGAGTTTGTAAAACAGGTGGATCGAGCTGTGCTAAAATGGAAAAATCTAAAAGAAAACTGCCAAGTTGCAGGCCAGTTATATTGTGTATAGTATGATTACAATAGTGCAAAGAAAGAAAATCGCACAATACCTACCTGAAACATCCACACTTGTATCTTATATTTGAATATGTTTGTATGTGTATGTATATAGACATAGAGAAATGTATGCATAAACAATTTTTTTAACAACTGTTACCTTTGGGGAGGAATGTTGGGGGTGGGAAGTATTCTAAAGGCATGATTTATTTTCTATATTTTCTATATTTATGTATAATCTATGAAATTAAGAAAACTCTAAGGAAATCTTAGTATTGGTTTTCAGAAATGTTTACTTTCAGATATACTATAACATGTGTACAAAGCATTTTGATTTTACAACTATTTTGCTGATTTATCTATGGGTGCTGTTTTTGTTCTTGTCCTTAATCAACCGCTGAATTTAATGAGTCTCTAAATAATGATAAAATTACACATTTCTGCATATTTCCAGGGCTAGCCAGGAAACAGTATCTTGTGATATTTTCTTACATTTCTGGGACTATCCATAAAACTTTACATTTGCCTCTTTTATAATATTTACCAAGTACCGCTATGTGTTAAAATCTTATCTATAAAATATAGAAGAGAAAATTTATGCCAGACTTTGTATTTTATTTCTCACATTACAATAGTTTGCATATACTCAGTATTCAATAAATAGTTCTTATACAATAATTTAAAATATTTATCTTACTATGTATAAAAGGAATGAGATTAAAAGTATATATTCTGAATAGACTACATGTAAGAGTATTATAACCATTTGCATCATCTTAAAATCTGATTTTTTAATTACAAATATATGGGTAGTCCTTTCCCTCAAGAAATAGTTATTTCATTTATGATTAACTCAAAATTATTTTCCCCCATAGAAATTCCACAAACCAGACCCATAAGCACAAAGTTAGTATTGTTTCCTTAAATCTAATATGAGAACTCTAGGAAAATAATTTAGAGAACAACAACAACAAAAAATGCTCATTATTATTTTGTTTTCTTTGATTTTTGCATTTTTTTTCAGACTTGGGATGTAGCTTTGTCACGGACTGCTAGAGCATGGGGGAAAAAATGTTTGCGTGAGCATAATCCTCATTTAGAAGAACTAAACATGGCCCATCCTAAATTTAATGGTATTGGTGAAAATATGTGGATTGGCCCCGAAAATGAATTTACCGCAAATATTGCTATCAGAAGTTGGTATGAAGAGAAGAAAAGGTACCATATTGAAAATGACAGTTGCTCTAGTGACTGTTCTAATTATAAACAGGTATCTAATTTTTATATTAATTCAATAGACTCCTTAATTGCTTTACTACTGAGTTTTTATTATGTTTAATTTTATAAATTAACCCAAATGGTAAGTTACTTCTAACAGAATCAAAATTCTAATCATTCCTAGATCTTCAAAATGTCTATAATTCCATCTATTACATGAACCATACAGTTAAAACATTTCTTTAAATGTGGTAAATCTCATCTCCATACCCAAAAATGAAAGGTACTTTTCTAAAAGCAATACGTACTGGAAAAGGATGAAACAGGAAATAAAAATTATTTTTAAATTATTGCCTATAAACATAAGTAAAAGACTTGATTATTTTGCACAGATCAGTATACATACTGCTGTATAACTGATTGATTAAAGCATGTTAAGTACCAATTAATAGCATTATTTTCCTGTCTCCTGTCTAACAATCCACATTTACACTTTATGCTCCAAGAATACTAAACTACTTGTTATTTCCTCTACACTTATTATTTTGCATATCACATTATTTATAATCATCTTTTTATATATGATACTACACTAAGTACAGAGACCTTGTCTTATCCACATGTCATGGACAACATTATTTTGGTCTTCAATAAATATTTGTACCAGGAATCAAGAAATTATTAGATGAACTTCCAAGCTGATTTAAGAGATTATTATTTTTTAATCAATAAGATCTGATGTCATGTTTTATGCAGAACTTAAAATCTTATGACTTTAAGACATGTTGAACTCATGTCTTTATGTTCCATCAAATGAATCATGTTTTAAAAGATGTTTGACTGTTCTTTCTTCTTCTGGAAAGTTATAGTGGTTCTCCATTGTCTTACTCATATCAAAGCCAGACTCCTTAATATGATTTTAATAATCCCAGTAAATTAATCATGTCTACTCCATGATCTACTCCTCTGTTATATTTTACTCTTTATTTCTGGTATCATAGACATTTTTGTTTCTTTTATCTTACCTACTTAACTCCATTTCAAATGGTGCAGACATTCTATTCTCTATTCTTTTAATGTATCACTATTTCTTTAAGAATCACACTTTTATTTTATTTTATTTTATTTTATTTTTTATTTTTAAAATTTTTTTTTAATGTTTATTTCTGAGACAGAGAATGAGGTGGGGAGGGGCAGAGAGAGAGGGAGACAGAATCCAAAGCAGGCTCCAGGCTCTGAGCTGTCAGCACAGAGCCTGACGCGGGGCTCGAACTCACGGACTGTGAGATCGTGACCTGAGCTGAAGTCGGACGCTCAACCGACTGAGCCACCCAGGCGCCCCTAAGAATCACACTTTTAAAACCACTAAGACTTGGGACAAAAAGGAAAGAAAACCAGAAACTGTTTCTTCCACAGAGGTTAACAAGACCAAACACTTTCTTGTTATGTGGAAGTTGTGTGGAAGTATTAGAAATACTAAAGTCATACAGAGAATTTCTGGAACATCTTTAATCGTTCTCATATTTTCATTCCAATTCAAGACCTTTTGTCCTTTTATAGAAACCTGCTCTTTTATTCATTTGTTTTGCATTGCAGGCCCAGACTATTTTATTTCATAATAGAACTTCCTCAACAAAAGAATAGAGAAATGCTGACTGCATTCAGTTACTCTCTACCCTTGTATAGCTTTTTCTTTCCTTTTATAATCTTGATGTTTGGTTTTTTTTTTCCTTTCTATGCACAACTTCCAGTCTTCCAAAACGTTATCTCCTCCTTTTCCCTCTTCCTATCTGCCATAACCTAGAACTCTCAGATTCAACAGGAGTTTGAAAATTGATTCAGCATGTGTGCCTTCCTTTGACTTTAAACCATTCTGGATCAGTATTTCTCAAACTCTTTATCCTAAGTTTACAGTGGTAGAACCTATTAAAGGTTTCTCCAAGTACAGTTTGGGAAATGCTTCCCTAAATCTGTGATAATTCTCTACCTGCATCCCAACTATCAACAATAGCCAAAGTATGGAAAAAGCCCAAATGTCCATTGACTGATGAATGGATAAAGAAGATATGGCATATATATATACAATGGAATATTACTCGGTGATCAAAAAGAATGAAATTTTGCCATTTGCAACAACATGGATGGAATTAGAGTATATTATGATAAGCAAAATAAATCAGTCAGTGAAAGATAAATATCATATGATTTCCCTCATATGTGGAATTTAAGAAACAAAACAGATGAACATAGGGGAAGGGAAGCAAAAATAAGATAAAAACAGAGAGGGAGGCAAACCATCAGAGACTCAAATATAGAGAACAAACTGAGGGTTGCTAGTGGGATAATGGGTGGGGGATGGGCTAAATGTGTGATGGGCATTAAGGAGGGCACTTGTTGGGATGAGCACTGGGTGTTATACCTAAGTGATGAATCACTAAATTCTATTCCTGAAATCATTATTACGTTGTATGTTAACTAACTTGGATTTAAATTAAAAAAAATTTCTACCTGCATCCAAATGAAGAATAGTTCATATTCCTTAAAATGCTTGGTTAAAGGTTCTTTGTAAATTGAATATATTATTGTTTATAATATGGCAGAGTAAATGTTTAGAATCAAATTTTGTTTTCTTTGAAATCTTTATTTTAGCTTGTTTGGAACACATCTTACAAAGTTGGTTGTGCCATTACTAAGTGTGCAAGAGTTGAAAATATTAGATATGCAGCAGTTTTCATTTGCAACTATGCGCCAGGGTAAGTTACTTTAAATTTTAAAAAGAATATTAAACTGGTAACTTTTCAAGGTTAGGTTTTCCTAACTTTCAATATATTCTTCTAAATGTCTTTGTAAACTGTAAAATAATTAAATATAAGATATTAAAGATTTATATTGAAATATTTTCAATTCTATAATGAAATAAGTAATATTTGGGCATATCTATTTAATGTATAAATTAGCCAAGTATTACTTACTAAAAAAATTTTAACATTAGTATTATTTCACAATATCTAGCCTAATGAGCATAGGAATTAAATTATTTTCCAAAATAGTTTATTCCCATATTTGTAATAAAAGTCAAAGGAAAATAAGGTTAGATGTGTATAAATCTAGATTGTGTATAATCTAGATTGTGTATACAATAAATGTATATTGTAAGAGTTGTTTCAGGAGTGCATCAGTTTTGTAACTGAAAGACACTTTTAATTGACCATCCTTTGCAAGTTGTATTATTATTTGAGGCTAGTCTCATTCATATAAAAAATCATAATATCTCAAAGATGCAATAGTACTTTAAAAGTCTCCTAGTAAATCTATCCGTATGAAACTTGAATTCTTTCCACTGACTTACCATGTGATTATTTATCCCACACTTGAATACCTTCCTAAGACAGGAAATAACTACCTTCAAAAATAGCCTTCATCTCTGGAGAGCTTTGTTGGAAATTCTGAAATTTTCTTATAGGTCAAGATGATACTATAAGTAGTATCATTAAAATATCTAACTGAGAAAATATCCTAATCAATAGGCCAAAAAAACAGTAAAATTAGCTATAAGCTAGGATTGAGAAAGAATTTCTGCCAAATAAAATGCTCTGGGACTAAACCAAAAAGAAAAACAAAACAAAACAAAAACAAACAAACATTGATTACTGATTACTGATTGTATTCCTCTGGATAGGGAAAATAACAGAAGTATGATATAAATCAAATTAGATTCAGAAAGTCCCTTCCTGAGAGGAGTTTTACTGACTTTGAACACAGTTATGCAAAACAAGTTCAGGATGTAGAGTCGTTACAAAACCTTTTAGGCTCCCTTTCATTTCTACAGACTGAAAGCATTAGGATGATGTCTATTACATGGAGAAACTTTTGAAAGTTAACTACTCATTGGTATTGAAAAGTCAGAGAATTGGGTACTGACGTGAGGGAAGAAAGAGATTCCTTTGGGGCACTAGTCTTCATTTATGCGCTCAGCAACTCTGTACAAGGCTCTGATCTATCTACCAACAAGACCAAAAAAGGCTGACCATATTTAGTTTTTAGCCTTGGAAGGAAGACACACAATAAATAAGTAAACACATAAATAGATAATATTTAATTAGATAATAAAATATGCCATAAAACATAAAGCAAGATAAGCAGATAGGGAATAACCAGTATGCAATACAGATAGGGTAGTTGCAAGACAAAGTAGCGTTTGGTCTAAAGATGACTAAAGAATATTTCAGATAGAAGTAAGAGCATGCACAGAGTCTCTGAGCTGGGAAAGATTTAGCATGTTTGAGAAATGAATAACTGCTTAGAAGTAGGAGTTGAGGTAGAAAGTTAGGTGACAGCTATACCAAATAGTATACCATAAGCCATGTTAAGGATTTTGGAATTTATTCTAAGTAATGGCTAAGCCATTGGAAAGTCTTAAGCACGTGAGTGACATCTTATCTATGTTTTGAAAAGAACACTTAAAAAAATTATCCTTGCTGTTGTGTTAAGCATTGAGTATAGGGAAATATGAGTTCAAAGAGGAAAGCAGGTGCCTGGGTGGTTCAGTCCATGAAGTGTCCAACTTCAGCTCAGGTCATGATCTCACAGTTTGTGAGTTCAAGCAAGCACAGAGCCTGCTTTGGGTCCTCTGTCCCCTTCTCTCTCCGCCCCTCCCCCACTTGTGCTTTCTTTCTCTCTCAAAAATAAACAAACATTAAAAAAAAAAGATTGTTTCTATATGACAGGCTATAGACTATGATTGGTTCTTTTCTTTTTAAGTAAGTTCTACACCCAGTGTGGGGCTTAGGCACATGCTCTATTGACTGAGGTAGTCAGGTGCCTCTAGACTATGGTATTAGGGTTTTAGCATGTACATTGATTTTCTATTGTTGCATAATAAATTAGTACAAATGTAGTGACTTAAAACAGCACCCATTTTTTATCAAACAGTTCTATAGACTGTAAGTTCACGCACAGGGTGGCTGGATTCTTTGCTCAGGGTCTCAAAGACCAAAATCAAGAACTTGGCTGAGTTCTTATCTCTAAAGCTCTAGGGAAGAATCTACTTCAAGTACATTCCAGTTGTTAGCAGAATTCAGTTCAATGTGGTTGTAGGACTTGGACCCCATTTACTTCCTGGCTTTCAGCCAGAGGTTGCTCTCAGCTTGTAGAGGCTGCCCACATTTCTTAACACAAAGTTCCCGCCATCTTCAAATCAGCAAAACCTTCCCATTGTTCAAATCTCTGACTTTTCTTCTGTGACCAGCCAAAGAACACTCTCTGCTTTTAAAGTGCCCAAATGATTGAGTCAGGCAAACCTGGATAATTTTCCTATTTTAAGGTCAGTTGTGCCATATAACATAAATTATTAATAATGGAAGTAAAGTTTATCATATTCACTGTCCTGGGAATTATGCAAGGCTTGTACACCAAAGGTAAGGGGGCTCGTGGTCCCTCTTAGAATTTTACCTACCATAGCATGGAAATTGAGAGGAAAGGTCAGTTTCTGGATATATTATGAAGGTGGAGCTAATAATACCAGTTGATGGATTTGACTTTAGGGATAAATGGGATACAATAACATAAAATGATACCTGTGTCTTTAGTTTGAACAGCTGGGTGAATAATGATGCCATTAACTCAGATAGGCAAGGACAGGAAATGTGTTTTATGTTTTGACATATTAGGTAGAAATACAAATGTGGGAAATGAAATGAATCATGAGAAGTAAAAAGTTCTGTGAAGGACTGGGATAGAATTCAAGTAGAGGCAACTACTGGTATAAAGGCCCTGAGGTAGAAATAAGTTACAGTCTTGAATGAGATCACCTTATGAGAGAGTGAGTATGGAAACTTAATTTAAGGATGAACTCCTAGAGCACTGCAGTATTTCAACTTTAGGCAAAGGAGATAGTGAAGTAGAATGAAGAGAGGCTAACAAGATAAGCGGGAAACCAAAACAGTGCTGGTAAGCGTCCTTGGAAGCCAAGTGAAGAACAGGAGTCAATATGACCAAAGTGGTTAACTGTATGAGATGCCTCTGAAAAAATTAAAAGCATGAGGAAGGAAAGATGACAGTTTCATTTGACAAGATGAAGGTATTTGGGGACCTTAATAACAGTGGTGAATGCAGGGGTATTCCATAACTCCAGTGGTAAGATGAAGCTACATGGTAGGATTACTCTTATTTCCACTCACTGTCTGGTAGGCTTCTTTGTCTTGAAATTTCTACCAACCATTTTTCTTTTGATACAAATATTGGCAAGTTTGCCCTGTGAAGGATCTAGGTTAGAACATATATTAGTAAACTCAGTTCAAATTTTATTTGATATGTACTCAAAATAGGCAGTCATAGCTGTCTTTCTTAAGAATAGTTGGTAGAAAAATCAATCCATCATAGTATTAGGAAGTACTGAGTAAAAATGAATATAAGAGAGCCAAACTGAAAATTGAAACATATAGTGGGCTGAATGGTGGATCCCCAAAAGGTAGATCCAGGTCCTAATTCACAGAATTGTCACTATTAACTTACATGGCCAGAGTGAGTATTGTCTTATCTGGCAAAAGATGTGATCAAGATAAGAATCTTGAAAGGAGGAGCTTATCCTAGAATATTCAAGTAGCCCTAAATGCAATCACATATATTCATGTAAGAGAGAGGGAAAGCCAGATTCAGCACTAGATACACGGAAGGAGAAGAAGCAAAGGGATCATGAAGAAGAGGTTCAAGTGACATATCCATAAACCAAGGAACTTCTGGAGCCATCAGAAGCTGGAAGAGTCAAGGAAATCTCCCTATGAACCTTTGGAGGGAGCGCAGTCCTGCCAACACCTTGGTTTTGGACTTCAGGCCTCCAAAACTATGAGAATAAATTTCTGTTGTTTTAAACACCCAGTTTATACTAATTTGTTAACGTAGTCACAAGAAACTAATACAGAATGGAAGAATAAAACAGATTTGGCCATAGAGAAAATATAAATCAATGACAACCTTGAAATGTTCTCTCAGAACACAAAGATGAAGAATAAAAGTCAAAATATATATTAAAAAAGAAAGGAAATATGTAGGGCAGATAAATCTATATATTGGTGCTCCTAAAGAACAGAGAAGAATAATTGGAATGTATATAATCACCAAAAAATAAAATAAAATAAAATATTCCTAATCTATAAAAATACTCATATAGGGGTGCTTGGGTGGCTCAGCCAGTTAAGCCTCTGACTCTTGGGGCACCTGGGTTGTTCAGTAGGTTGAGCATCCAACTTCAGCTCAGGTCATGATTTCATGGCTCATGAGTTCAAGCTCCACATGGGGCTCTATGCTGACAGCTCAGAGCCTGGAGCCTGCTTTGCATTCTGTGTGTCTCTCTCTCTGCCCCTCCCAACTTGTACTGTCTCTCTCTCAGAATAAATAAATAAACTTAAAAAAAAAACTCATAAGGTATTAGAAAAAGTGAGCTGAAACAATATTTACACATACCATTTTCTAGTAATTATTCTTCAGTTTCAAAGATAAGACTCATAAATATTTCTAAAAAAAATAAAAGAAAGTAAAAACTTTAAAATATTAATTAGATTAGCCTTGAACTCAGATATTAGAGGGTACAAAGATGACACTGATAATTTAAGCTTAAGTGATAGGTGATTAACTACTCTAGGAAAAGATGTAGTGTGGAGAAAAAGGATTTGTTTATTTTTGGACATGTTGCATCTGTAGGTGACTGTAGCATCTCTTATTTAATTAAACATACATTTGTAGTAGATGCACCAAA